AGTTGCACTCATATGTGCATTTTTAATTTGCAAATAAATCAAAGCACTTTTATTTCGATTGTTCCCCTCTGGTCACATACAGCATTGTGCAAAAATCAAATGTCTCAAAATCATTGCGCAAACAAATATAATTCCTTTACCATCAAAAACAATATGGAGTGTTTACATCATTTCAACTCTGATTCAATAAGTCACACTGTTCACGTTACAGACTCTAGAGAGCGTCATCCCTACACAAATCAACACAAAATGTCCTGTGGATGTTTGATCATCTATATGGCTTTAAACCTTTCAGTCATGGTTAGCCTGAATCTGTCCATTGGTCTGCATCTGGCTGGTCTGTACAAGCCTGTAACAAAATGTTCAACAGGAACAAAATGCAAACGTAAAAGAACTGAAAAACCCATACTGATATTTTGAACTTTAAGCTATATTACATCTAAGATATTGTGCTATTATTTAATTTTATTAATGCAAGTACTTGAACCTGAATATTGGTTGTTTTAAAACCCAGAACTTCAGTGCCAGACTAAAATGATATTAAACTCACAATAAAAAAAATATATTTTTAGTTCACAGTGAAGCAAACAGCTTTATCTATGGATGCGCATTTAATAAATGTTTTAACCTTTAACCTTTCACTGATGACATCACCCAGGAAGTGACATCCTCTTGGAGGAGAAACGGCAGCACAAACATCAGTACTGTTATGAATTCTGTGATGGTTTTAGTCTCTAAACAATTCATCTTGTTTGGAAAATGTACAGATTAGTTTGATTTTATATATTTTTAGTTCACAGTGAAGCAAACAGCTTTATCTATGGATGCGCATTTAATAAATGTTTTAACCTTTAACCTTTCACTGATGACATCACCCAGGAAGTGACATCCTCTTGGAGGAGAAACGGCAGCACAAACATCAGTACGTGTTATGAATTCTGTGATGGTTTTAGTCTCTAAACAATTCATCTTGTTTGGAAAATGTACAGATTAGTTTGATTTCAAAAGATGGTTATGCTATGAATATGAACCAAGTTGATGCTTATATAAGCGAACTGTCAATGAGTCTTTATGAACATCTGTTCATTTTCTTGTTGTTTTGTTAATTATTAAGTTAAAATTGTAATGTGAGAATCTGCCTGACCCCAGAAGCAAATCAGATTTTGTGTCTTTTAACAGCTTTTTAAAAATTTTAAATAGTTATAGTTTAACTAAGAATTTCAAGAAAAACAAGTTTTCAATGACGGGGCATTGAGCACGTTACAATATCAACAATACAACGTATTTAGCAGTTATTTTGTATGTTGTTGATGAAAAATTGTAATTTCCCAGGAGAAGGCAGCATGTTTGGTACATAGAGAAACAGCTAATAACAGCAAAACAGTTTCATGGCTAGAAGGAAAATATTTCAGGTTTTCATTTTAGTATTTATATGAAATACAGGCATAATAAAACCTTCAGACTCTGATGGAGATATATTGGTGCAGGCGGCTGGTGAGGCTTCATCACAAACACACACTGACAGTCAAACCGCTCTTAAATAATAATAAACATAAACATAATCTGATTTATATCATATAAAAATAAAGATGAACAACCAGATCATATTTTCAACATTGGCACTTCTGAAAATCAAGATTGGTGCATCGCAGCAGCATAAACTCCAGCATAACACAGATGCCTGCGCATCAGAGACCATGAAACTCACCAAACCTCAGAGATGACAGATCTCATATCTCACTGCAAAAATCCAAGCAAAGCAACTGCGTTTTGCATAAAGAAAACTAAGCTTATTTTGTAGTAAATGAAGAAGCTTTGCATTGGGAATGTTTTCAATTATTATTTAGGATTTAATATGTTTGACTGTAATGAAAATAGTGTCACAATGTAAAAACAGTGCATTTTCCTAATGCAAAATGTCATTTCTTCTGTTGTTTGGGGTGAAATGTGACCTGGACATGCTTTTAGATGCACAAGCATCAGAGATGATGAATCTTAATTTGTTCAGTTCATATTCCACCCATAGAAAATCAATTCAAAATTAGGTTTTGCATAAAGTAAAAACAGTCAATTAACAGTCAGTATAAAAACAGTCAATTTTATGCATTTCTTTTTCTCTTTCTTTTGATTTTCGGAGTGAAGTGTGACCCTAAAATGAATCGCAACCTGCTCAGCTCATATTTCACCTCAAAAGGCAAAGAAAATAAATATGTATTTTATTTATTAGTTTTTTTTATTTGTTTGCATAAAGAAAATCAAGCTTATTTTGTAGATCACATGGATATTTTTCATTGTGCTATTTTTTCAATAAAAAAAATTTAACTGTCAGGAAAATTAATGTAAACTTTACTAATGCAAAATATTTTGTTCTTGTTTTTTTTGGGGTGAAATGCGACCTAGACATGTTTTCAGATGAACAAGCATCAGAAGTGATGACTCTCAACCTGCTCAAGTTCAGATTTCGTCCCAAAAATCTTAGAAAATAATTATTTTTTTAAAAACATAAATTTGCAATTTTTTTATGTTTGTATTTAAATTATGCAAATTTATGTCAGGGAAACACTGCCAATGTAAAAACAGTCAATCTTGTAACCATAAACTACGTATATAATTTCCTGTTTTGTCTTCTGATTTTGGGGTGAAATAGGCTATGACCCGGACACCTGGTTTCGTGAGATTCACTCAAAGTTACAATTCCTCAATAAAACAAACAAAGGAACATTAAATTCAAGTTTAACGGCAGCCAGTCAGGGTTGTGCGGTTCCGTGTTGCTTCAGGTAAAATATTTCCAGTTTAAGGGCCAGTTTTACTAACAGCTTGCGCCAGCGCAAACCGTCTTTTGGCGTTAAAATAGTACCGTCAGGTTTTACTAAAGACGTGCAGTGAGGAATTAGCGCTGAAAAGGTGCAGACACAGTTATTTTTGAAGGAGTTTCCCTTTCAGACGCAAAATATACAGTGTTGCCAACTTAGTTGCCAACAAATTTAGCAACTTTTCAGACTTCCCTAGCAACTTTTTCTTCCAAAAGCACCTAGTAACAAATTTAGCTATTTTAAAATTTTATTTGGCTAATTTTAGCAACTTTTGATAAGTGACTCAAACAATAAAAAGGCACACATTTTCCATCTAAATTTCACAAAAAGAGGAAACCAAAGATGCCTAGAAGTACATACATCACATGAATTAAGTTATTGCTATTTGCAGTTGTTCGATTTGATAATAACAATAATAATTGTTCATTTATGATACACCTTGTTAGTAGCTTGTACATGTGATTGTTGATCAGTTAGTACACTGTAAGAAAAATATCTAGAAAAATGGCAAAGGTACTAATAATTTTTCAGGACATTATCCATTATCAATTATCCATTATCCGTTGTAACCCTGTAACCCGAAAACACAAAATACAATGCGTCATTTAAAATGCAGGTAAAAACCGGTGATTTATTTTCTTAGAGTGTAGCATACTGACTACTAATACACTGCTTAAAACTCTAATTGTTCAGAATGTGAAGTTTTACTAGTTTACTAGCTAATAAAAAAACTTGTAATCGTTCAAAAATTAAATCGTTCAATGTTGTATATAAAAATTGTTATTTATATTTTAACATATTATGCATTTATATTATTTTACGAACAAATCTAAATGAACATATCAAATATATTTTTGCTGAGATTTGATGTAGTGACACAATTTTGCGTCGTGATTACGTAATGACGTCATCACGCAATGACATCACAACGTCATTTAGCAACTTTTAGCAACAAATCGACCTTCCTTTAGCAACTTCCCCTGAAAATTAGTTGGCGACACTGAAAATATATGGAAGGAGAGTATCAAAATGAATCACGCAACGCAGTTTAGCTACCAACGTTTGCTCTCATCAAATTACTGGTATTTGCGCCATTATTTAACGCCCCAAAAAAGCATGTATTAAAGGTGACATATCATGAAAATATGACTTTTCCAGGTTTTAAGAGCTATAATCAGGCCCCCAGTGCATCTACCAACCAAGGAAACGTGAAAAAGATTAACCCAGTAACTTTGTTTTGGTAAGCCTTTTTCTGCAAGCGTCTGAAAAAAAGAGCGCGTCTGATTTCGCTCCCTTGGTGACGTGACAAAGGGATCTAATTATAATATTACCGCCCCTTAATCTGCACGTTTCCACCCATGGCACCATCATTTTGATTTCGCAAGTGACAACAGTGTAATGCCATGGCGAAAGTTTGAGCAAAACTTGCTAACTGTCCTGCCTTTGGCTGCACAGATGAGCACAGAACACTATTTAGAGTCCTGTCTTTGACTGCGCAGATGAGCACAGAACACTGTTTAGAGTCCTCAGAGGAGACGAGAGAGCAGTGGATTTATTGATTTATTTACTGCTGCTGCCACACAGATCTGAAATAAACATGCAATTTATTTCCCAGCTGTTTACCTCCACAGACATAACCAACTGTTTTTGTACCTCATGTGTGTTTTTAACGTAAACCTGTGTGTGAATGAGAACTTAGTTTAGTACTCAAATGCTGTGTGGTGGCCGCTTTCTGTCTGTGTGCTCTCAGAAAACCGTATATCAGAAGTTTAAACTAAACGATAAACATGATAGTCAGAACCAAAACAGATGTTTTTTAGCAGATATGAGCTGTAATGGCGCAGCTCTATTCTGGAAAAGGGGGCGGGGAGCAGCAGCTCATTTGCATTTAAAGACACAGGTCCGGAAAACAGCGTGTTTCTGCTTCCACTCAAAACAGGCATTTTCAAAATGATATAATAAATGATCTGTGGAGTACTTAGAGCTGAAACTTCACAGACACATTCTGGGGACACCACAGACTTATATTACATATTGTAAAAAGGGGCATAATATGTCACCTTTAAAGCAGGCGGTAATTTGCGCAACTCTTAGTAGATTGCACTGGTCATTATGGAAATGATCTGACTGTGTCTGTGTTCTTTACTGTGCGCATTTTTAGTAAATCACTCACTGAGTTTTCCCCACCCATCTGCGCTTTTATAGAATTGCACTCTAATGCTAATCTGGCCCTTAAACGGTTGTTGGTGGTTCACGCGGAGATGAGGCGGGCCGCTCCTTTGTGCACCTGCGCTTGAACGGGCCCGTACTCCACGCGCTCACCGTCTACCGTCATGATGCCCGCCGTGCTCAGTGGCTCCAGCCTCAGCGCTCGCGCGCGCCGGTACACCAGGTGTGCGCAGCCGCAGTCCAGGTGTGTCCCGGTCTGCATGGCCCGGAAGAGCCGCAGCAGCGTGGCGCGCGAGATTCCCGCCGTCACGTAGAACAGGTGGATGAGCCCGTCGTCGGCGCGGGCGTCCGGAGCCGCCAGCAGATCCTCGCCCAGGTGTGACTGGAACATGGCGAGCACCAGAACGAACTCCTGCTCCTCCACCAGCGTCCAGTCCTGCGGGACGGGCTGCTCCAGCGGAGCGAGCAGGTGGTCGGGCAGCCGGCTGTCGGCGGGGGAAAAGCTTGCAGAGTCCGATCCACGCTCGGATTCGGCTGGCAGGAAGGCCAGTTTTCCCTGATAGATCCGTAAGGAGGCCAGGCGCAGCAGCGTGCCGAGGATGAAGCGCAGCGCTCCGATCTGACGGAACTGCTCGCTCTCGATGTCCACGTCGGCCACGAAGCCCCAGGCCAGAGACAGGAAGGAGAAGAGACGAGCGCCGGATGACAGACGGATGGAGATCAGGTCCAGTTTAGACACCAGACCCTTACAGAGCAAAAAGCCACAGCTGGTCAGCAGATCTTCACCCCACACCGGAGACGCTCTGCAGAGAACAAGCAAACACAAACACCAAAATCAGAGATTAGTGCTTACTGGATTGACAAATATGATGTTAAAAGGACCGTAAAATAAAGCATGCATCATTTTACAAACAGCAAAATTAACCTTGTAGGCCTATTATTAGTTGTTTATAAAAACATCTCCATAACAAGTGTTATTTTAGTATTATTTGAGTACTATTATAGTAGGCTACATAGGCTATTAATATTTTGAATAAGCATTAGTTTTTACATTTTCAGTTTTCATTTTAAGTCCTAGTAATTTGGTGCTTTTGTCATTTTTATTAGATTTAAAAAAAAAATCTGTATAGCTTTATTTGGTAACACTTTATTTTAAGGTGTCCTTGTTGCGCATGTTACACTATTATAATAACACTATTATAATAACTGTTATTACTATTATAATAACAGTTAATTATGCATAATTACATGCAAGTAACCCTAAACCAAACACTAATCCTAACCCTAACCAGTACCTTAATTGGTATTACTCAGTACTTAAATGTATAATTACACTGGGGTATGTGCATGTTTGAGACATTTTAGGGTTTTTATTTTAATTTAGTTAGTTCACATGTCAGCCATCATGACAACATATCCTAGTCGTGTAAGTACAGATCTTGTTTACCTGAATGGGGGGAAAACTGAAATCCCCACAGTGTTGTAGCTTCTTTAGCTCAAATCAGGCCTAAAATCGGCTCATAATGCAACGCACTTTCAACATTCAACAAACAGGCGAATGGTGGGAATCTGGATTTTTCTCTGCTTAAAAATAACTGATATTGAGATTAATAAACCAGGAAAACAGATTAACAAAGTTGTCACTGGCACATCTGCCGTTCTGAGGTCCTAATAAAACGTTCACGGTGAACTGAACAATGTGCTCAGGTTAAAGGGATAGTTCACCCAAAAATTAAAAAATTATGCGATTTCAATTTTTCCTTTCTCTTTGGAGTGTTACAAGCTCTTGGTGCAAAAAGAAGATCTGTAAAGTTGCAAAGACTAAAGTCTCAAATCCAAAGAGATGTTCTTTATAAAAGTTCAGAGTCAACCACACCTACCTAAAACGGCTCATTCTAACACGCCCCCACATATCTACATCACTATGTGGGAAGGTTTGCATAACGCCGCCCAAATGTTCACGCAAAGAAAGAAGAATTTTAAGAAGCTTCCAGAATACTTTTTGTGTGCAAAGAAAACAAAAATAATGACTTTATTCAACGATTCTTCTTGCCTGAGTTACCGAACTTAAGTTGAGCCACTGATGTCACATGGACTATTTTCTGGGTCTGGGAGCATTTCAGTTGTGTTGCTGTCTATGGGAAGGTCAGAGAGCTCTCGGAATTCATCAAAAATATCTTAATTTGTGTTTTGAAGATGAACGGAGGTCCTGCGGGTTTGGAAGGACATGAGGGTGAGTAATTAATGGCAGAATTTTCATTTAATCAAATGACTGTTTGAGCACAGCAAGTCTCGCTTAACGCCAGTAGGAGGTGCTTGTGTTTCAATAATAAAAGTCCAACGGCCAAACGCTGAATGTGAGCGGTTATTTTGAGCTGAATTACGCCGGTGTTCAATCATTTCTCGGGTGAGTCGAGTTCTGATGAATGTCTGCTTCATCTTCATGAATAGAAATGACTCTCAGCATTTTTCTCCAGAGATCGCCGAGCTCGAGTGTTTCATGAACTGACCTGTTATGGCCTGCTCTAGTCACCTGAAAACACCCGCTCTCTGATCGGATGCAAGTCATTAGTGAGTCATTAATGCATTCTTTTGTTTTTCTCTCTCTCAGCAGAACCGAACTTATATTCTTTAGTTCAAAGAAATGCTGAGTTTAAACCCTCAGAGATTCAGCTCTCAGAAACGCGCGCTAATGACTGGAATAATGACTCTTGGTAATGACTGCTTACATCGCAAGGTTTAAATTGAACATCTAAACGAAACAGCACAGAATGAGTTTAATGGAGATTACTAAACCAAATGAGCTATTCTGTATGAACACTGACTCTAGATCAGAGATTCAGAAAACACATGCTTTCTGAAAACCACATGCTCCAGTCAGATTGGCTGGCTTTACTTCATTTCAAGGAGTTTATTCAGTTTATATCGGTCCACTGGAAGAACCACGTTGTAGTTTTTATGGCATCAAATCATAGGAGTTCTGTTTAAGACATTCAATGATAAATGAATGAGATATCCAATAGAAATGCACAATATATATTAGAGATTTTTTGTTATGTTTTGGTCTTGGATATTTAACTGTGGATGCTTATTTCCCTTAACTTGACATTCAGATTATTTTCAAAACTAAATTTGAAAACACTAGCAAATAATAAGACGATAATAAAATGAATAAAAATGTGTGCATTAACGTAAATTGATTCAAAATTAAGAAAATGTATTTAAAATTAAATGAAAAAAATACAAATAAAATTATATCAAATGTTAATTAATAGATTAAATGATTACACTATTTATAAATGAATTAAATAATTAATAAAAATTAAATTAAAGTTTACTTTTTGGTGTTTTAATTTGATTTTATATACAAATTAGAACATAATTGTATTACTGGCCATAACTTTATTGGTCTGAATTTAAATACTGAATTTCATAAAATGTCAATTAAATTACTAAAATTATATTAAATAATTTGTTAAAGATTTTAGTGTTTTGTTTATCATTTGCCATAGCTTACTGGCATTGGAATTTTAATATCAGATTTCATAAAACATAAAAATTTAAATTTTAAATGAATTAGATTATTCACTTTTATTTTATCATTGGCCATAACTTATTAGTATTGGCCAGAGATTTAATATTGGATTTGATAGAATTTAAATACATTAATTTCATTCGATTCATTCATTTAAATAATAATAATAATAATAATATATTTTCTTATTGGCCATAATTTATTGCCATTGGCCAGAGTGATAATATAGGCTTTCATATTTACTGGTCTCTAAACATCATGTAAAGAAGCTAAATCGGGTTGGTCTCTTCACATGTCAGTCAGACGGTGTGGTGGGCGGTTCTTGTTGCTCTGATCGGCTCACCGTGCGTAGTGATGGACAGATGCAGCCAGTGCATTTCCTGAACCTCCGGGCAGGATTCCCAGAGGAGTCTGAATGGCCTTTTCCCAATCCTGCCTCTCCATTAGACCGTTCACTACCTAAAACACACACACGTACGTGAGCTGAATGCCCAACACACATACACACTCTCACACACACAGACGGACACAAGCGACCTGCACACACCTCAAACAGCAGCCCGTCTCCAGACAGAATGACCAGAGCGTCCCACTGCGTCAGGTCAGCGCTCCGCACCAGATCCCGCGCGTGGTTCTGACGCTCTGTAAGATCACAGATCACAGCAGACGCTCAGATCTCTGTCCATGGCCTTCATGAGCAGCAGATTCTCTGATACAATAAAATCAGATCTCTGATATACCAGCAGAGATTCCATGGTAATCACATTCATCACTACCCAGTGTTATGTTGGTAGCATTGTAGTTTTTATTAATATTAATAAATGTATTTCTATATTTTCTGTTTTCATTGTAAAGTTTTACTACTTTTGTTTTGTTTTTGCCATTTTTATATATTATTTTATTTTTTTATTATGTCTATATAGTTTTCAATCATTTTTATTTCTATTTTAATTATTTTGGTACATCAAATGTTGATGTGGCAACTAAATCAAATGTTAGTTTTTTTTAAGTAACATTTTTATGATTTTAGTTTTACATATAACACTAATGTTTGGGATCAGTAAGGTTTTTCTTAAATAATACTTTAATTCATCAAGGAAGCATTAAATTGATCAAAAGTGACAGTAAATACATTTATATTGGTACAAAAAATAGATATATTTCAAATAAATGCTGTTCTTTTGAACTTTCTATTCATCAAATAATCCTGAAAAGTAAAATGCATCACAGTTTCCACAAAAATATGAAGCAGCACAACAATTTTCAACACTGATAATAAAAATAAATGTTTCTTGAGCAGCAAATCAGCATATTAGAATGATTTCTGAAAGATCATGTGACACTGAAGACTGGAGTAATTATGCTGAAAATTCTGCTTTGATCACAGAAATCAATTACATTTTACAATATATTCACAGAAAAGAGTTATTTGACAACTGTTATTTGATAACAATATTTCACTGTTTTGCCTTGGTGAGCAGAAGAGACTTCAAATAGTAGCCCCCAAACTTTTGAACAATATGTAGTTGTTTACTCAACCTGGTGTTGAATATAATTGGCTTTTATGACATATTGTGATGTTCCTCATTTATAGGCTGTGTAAGGCATCAATTAAATGAATGAATGTAAATGATTCAGTCAGATGCAGCACAAACGCCTATAAAAGTGTCACAGTCTGAATTGTATGAAGTGTAAACCCTGAGTGTGTGTGTGTGTGTGAGAGGCAGAAGTGAAGATTCATAGTGACTGATTCAGCAGAAATGCCTAAAGCTGAGACTGCACTTCGCACTCTCTCTCTCACACACACACACACACACACACTCACTCATTGGCTTCAGTGTGGATGTGGTGTGGAGTGTTGTTAACAGAGGGAGACGGATCACAGGCAGAAACATCACAGTGACCCACATTACAGATCACACACTCATATCCATCCATCCATCATTTCATCTATCCTTCTTTCTATCCATCCATCGTTCCATCTATCCATTCATCTTTTGTTGTATCATCCATCATCAATCATATCGTCCTTTCCATGATCCATCCATCTATCATTCTATCCATCCATCCTTCTTTTCATCCATCAACCATCCATCCATCATCTTCTCATCCATCATCCCATCTATCTATCCATTCAACTGTTGTTCTGTCCATCCAACCTTCTTTCTATCCATTATCCATCCATCCATCATTTCATCTATCCTTCTTTCTATCCATCCATCGTTCCATCTATCCATTCATCTTTTGTTGTATCATCCATCATCAATCATATCGTCCTTTCCATGATCCATCCATCTATCATTCTATCCATCCATCCTTCTTTTCATCCATCAACCATCCATCCATCATCTTCTCATCCATCATCCCATCTATCTATCCATTCAACTGTTGTTCTGTCCATCCATCCATCCATCCATCTACACACACTCTAAACATTCACTGATGGATGTATTAACAGACCCATCAACACATGCATGTATGCGCACACACACACACACACACACACACACAGATGTGATCAGTGGTCCATCACTCATATGTGTGTGTTTCTCTGTCGGCGGTTACTCTGAGTGTGGAGCTCTTCATCTGTTAACAGCTCTGCTGCTCTCTGACTAATCGTGAGATTTCTGAATGAAGCTGCCAGCTCTATATAGTGAGACAGGAACTTGTGTTTTATGAGTCTATAGACTCTGATGATGAACTTGAACGCCAAAACCGATCGACTACTGTCAAGGCGGAGGCACAGTCTGAGGAAAAATATGCTGACAAAGATGGTTAAAGTTACTTAACTAACTAGTAACCTGAAAAGCACACCAGGTTAGGGATTAGAGCCCGACCGATATGTTTTTTTGGGGGCCGATGCCGATACCGATATTAGGGAGTAAAAAAGACCGATACCGATATATCAGACAATATTCTTTGTGTAGGCTATATTATAGTACAGTATAGTCAAAACTTTGGACACACTTTTCATTTGTGTGTCCAAACTTTTGACTGGTACTGTATATAGAATACAGTATATAGTCTACATAAACTGAATATATATAGATAAGCAAATTTTTTGCTATGATAACTCAAATGTGGTGATCAGACACTTATAATGATGTGACAAACATAGGCAGGGTATTTAACAATTTTACAATAAACTTTATTATTCAAAATGAGTCTGACATCAGTGCACTTAACAGTAAACTTCACTTATTATAAATAACAACACAAATAGAACAAAATATATATAACTTGAATTAAGAAATTAAACAAGGTAACTGTGTAGGGCAAGCAAGCTACTGCCAAACCAACAGGTGCAGGTTTATGCAGGAAGCACAGCTTTTCCAAATGTAAACATCTAAAATGAATAAATAATAATAATAATAATTAATCTTTTTTTTTTCTCACAAACTCTGTGTTGTGTATTTTCTGGTAATCCAATGAACATG